CACAGCTGTTTCGGCAGAGTACCTTTCTCAAGTGATCTATTTTTGGATGTGTTTACAATTTAAATAAGTCTTTAACGAAATAGGTTGAGGAGGGGAGAACTGTTTGTCTCAAGTTGGTCATTCAGAATTATGTCTGGGTTTTTTAATTTGTTAATTTCCATATATTCTAATGAAGTTAGCTTAAAGGGCTTAATTTGAACTCGTCATTAAAAGAAGGATTATGATCTAGAAGGTGAAGTGAGTATATAGAACTATTTTCCTATTATTGAAAGCCCTTTTATGTTCTGCTATGTGTGTTAAGGGATCTACCAGTTTGACCGATGTAAGTTTTTGGGCAGTAGCCACATCCTCAATATATTATAACGTTTCAGTCACCAGTAGCGTAGCTAGTGGGTGCGAGAGGAACCCAAATATCCTGAAGGGATGTTGAATCGAAATCGGGTGTTGCTCATGTCCATCTACTTTCAGTCTTTCACATGACTTGTAACTGGTGATGTGTGTTTTTATGTACGTTCACATTTAGTCGTGTTTGCAGCGCTTTTCCGATTTTTGACCCCACCTTGTGATTAATGTAAAAAGATTTTATCGGTAAGTTATTTCTGTCAAACCCCGTCAAAATTTCGAGTACCCCTGCTGAGACACGATGCTTTTCTCGACTTCAGTAATTGGTGGCCACGTTATTATAAAAAAAAAAACGTTTCTTAGTAACTCATCCTGTGGAATAAAAGTTCCCAAGGAAAGAAAAATAAGATTTCAAATTTCAACTTACGAACACATGAAATGCGATAGAGCGGAACCTGGCATCCTCACATGCAGTGAGTTCATTAATGGTGCCATATCTGAGAAGTTTAACCTTCGAAAAATAATCGAAGAAGTGATAGTTTTGCCTTAAACGCGAGCTTACTCTGAAAACGCCCATTAATGGCATCCAAGGTTGAAGACATTAGAAAAATGCTAAGATTCAACGACGATGACAATATCCCATTTTGGAGGTAAATAACAGAATGGCCCAATGTCCACCAAGTTGACAATTAATACTATCGACTATTTTCTACTCCTAGTTTTTTACTTATAGAACTGGTACTTATATTACTTGATTATAACGGCAAATAAAGGTGTTTTCTGGCAAGTAGTGTTTATATTATTGAATTATTCCTCATAATTTTTATTTGAATTACAGTTAACTGCAAAAAGGGGACTTGTACACAGCATTAAAAATGTGAATATTATACAAATATAATTAAAATTATTCAAGTTCCACTCCTATCGGAGATTGGAAATCATTCTGGCAATTATAATTTTATTGGTTACTCGCCTGAATAGTTCAATTGAACTACATCCAAACCACTCACGGAGATTGCGTAGCCACGAGATTTTACCTCTTCCTACGCTTCTTCTACCTTTGATTTTACCCTGCATTATATTCCTTAGTAGTTCGTACTTTTCACCTCTCATGATGTGCCCCAAGTATTCCAATTTCCTGATCTTTATGGAATTTAAAAACTTCGCATTGTTTTCCTAGTTGTTCGAGAACTTGTTCGTTTGTTTTGCGATCCATCCATGATATTTTCAAAATGTGTCGGTAACACCACATTTCGAATGCTTTAAGTTTTAATGTTGGATTTTTTAAGTGTCCAAGCTTCAACTCCATACAAAAGGGTAGAGAAAATATAACATCGAAGCATTCTTATCCGGAGCGATATATTGATATCGCGATTACAAAAAAGTTTTCTCATTCTATTAAAAGTTGACCGCGCAATTTCAATGCGGCATCTTATTTCTTTTGTCTGATCAGTATCTTCTGTGATCCATGCTCCAAGGTATACCAAGTTTCCTGATTCTAAGTGATTTGGTTATAATTATTTAGTTTTATTTTGTACTTTGAGAAATTTTTTAACGAGGCTCTTTACGGAATAGACGAAGCATCCTTCTAAATGGTGAAAGAGTAAACAATGTTAGATATGCCGACGACACCATGGTGATAGCAGATTGTTTAGAGGGACTTCAGAGGCTAATGGACAGAATAAACGAGTACAGTCAACAGTACGGACTAAACATTAATACCCACAAAACGAAACAAATGATTATCAGCAAGAATATAAACGGGGCTCATCTATACATTAATGGGACGCAGATAGAGCGAGTAAAACAGTATTGTTACCTGGGAACTATTATTAACGAACAGTGGAGCAATTTACAGGAAATAAAGTGCCGCATAGGAAAGGCAAGAATGGTCTTTAACAAAATGAGCGCCATCTTCAAAAGTCACAACATATCCCTTGATACAAAAATAGAGACATTTGAGATGCTATGTTTTCTTTGTGTTGTTGTTCGGGGCGGAGGCATGGACGCTTACAGACACCACTATTAAAAAACTTGAAGCATTTGAGATGTGGCTTTATAGAAGAATGCTGAGAATATCATGGACAGCAAGGATCACGAACAAGGAAGTTCTAGGAAAAATGAAGAAGGAACCAGAGATTGTGTTTACGATCAAACGCATAAAATTGCAATATCTGGGACACGTTATGAGAAATCAGCACCGTTACTCCCTGCTACAGTCTATATTGCAAGGTAAAGTCAAAGGTAAGCGAGGACCCGGTAGAAGGACAATATCATGGCTGCGGAATTTAAGAACATGGTTTAAGAAAACCTCACGGAGCTGTTTCGAGCCGCAGCGAGCAAGGTTATGATTGCCAATATGATTTCCAACATCCGAAACGGATAGGAACCAGAAGAAGAGGAATTTAGTTTTTATCTTCTCCTGTAAAATTTACTTTTATGCAGATGTCCCCTTTTTGCAGTTAGCAGTTCATATGTGTTCTGCTGTGCCATATGTTGGTAAAGAGCAGTGAGATTCCACAGAAAGGTTCAATTCCTACCAAGCATGATTTGAAGGTAACAGAAAATTCAGTATATCACCATGGATAACTGATTTTCGCCATGTGAATTACTAGAAAAGAGTTTAATAATGATTGGAACGCTTAGAAAAAATAAAAGAGAAATAACTACACAATATTTGGAAACGAAGTGATCAGAAATTCCATTCTCAGCATTTGCATTTACGCAAAAGTTGACACTAGTATCACATGTTCCAAAACGAAATAAATGCGTTCTATTAATCAAATCAAATTAGTTATATGCATTCGTTAGACGAAGTTACAAGTTTACAAAGAAGCCAAAAATAATTCTATTCTACAACAGTTGCCAGGAAAACAAGAAGATGGCCATGGAGAGTTTTTTATGGAATATTAGATGGAGGTGGAGTAAACACAATGGTTTTGTACAGACTGAAACATTCTGACGAAAAAATTTCCCGTTAGAAATTCTTGAAGTCCTTAGCTGATGCATTAGTACAAGATCATATGCAACAAAGAATAAATATAATATACGGCTTCGGAAAAAGTTAAGGGTGATTATTTAGGATATCCAACCAAAATACCCACTGTAAATCCTCATAAACGAAATCGTCGATGTTATTATTGTCCAAGAAGTAACGATAGAAAAGGTCGCCATATTTGTGTTTATTCTGAAATAAAAAAATGTGCAGAACACCAATTTAGTATTTGTGATGATTGTTAATAATATTAGAATAAATTATTCAATTATTAACTTGTTTTTTAATTTACTTTTGACATCTTAAAAAGTAGTTGTCAAATATAAGTGCTTTTATATTTTGACTCACTCTATATATTAGTTTTGATTATTGATACCTAACAAACCATTTTCTGATTAGAAATCAAATCATTTAGTAAATTTATTGACAAGTAACTTTAAAAAACATTTAAATGTCTTTTATTTTGAAAAATATTTTCGGGTCGCCTTGTGACTCCACCTTGTGAAAATTGTTCCACTAATTTCATGAAGAATGATAAATACATGCCTAGTAAACTTAAGATACTAACAGAAATTATATAATAGAGTAATAGCAGAAGTTTAACTGAATGAAAAAAAGATCCAAGTGTTGAAATGCAAAAAGGTATAAAGCAAGGAGATAACTCGAGTTCACTATTATTTATAATAATAATGGACAGGACATTAAAGAACACCAGAATACGAACAAATAATTTACAAACCTGTACCATTGGTGTTAATCTGCAGTTTCTTCTCCAAAACATAGTTTCCATTGTATTTATTCTGTTTTCCATTCTTTTGTCACCCACGTCTTTGAGCCATATGGTGAGCAGCTTTTCACTATTATCTTAAAGATTTGCTGCCCACTGGCCTTCCAGAGATCCAAGAATACAATGTTAAATTTAACTTTGAATGCCATTGCTTTTTTTATGAACTGTTTCATAGAAAATATATTATCAGTACATGAGCGTCTAGGAGAAAAACCACTTGGTTCCTCCATACTTTTTTAATTATTTTTAATGCTGTCTATGTCTTTCATCTGTATTTTCTTTTGTCTTCTTGATCTCCTATAGTAGCCACTTTCGGTATCTTCTTTTCTTTTATTTGGTTTTTTATCTTTGTTATCCACCAATATGGTTTTTTGTTTTTATAATTTATCTGGTCATTTTCCCTTCCCATAGCTTCTTCTGGTGCTAAGTGTATTTGTATTTTCATATCATTCTTCATTTGTTATTAAAAAGTAGGAATGGAAAAGTAACGCGCCAGTTACTAGCTCTAGAGTATATTTGGTTATCCATTTTTTATTATTTCTTCTTTTCAATCGAATTGTTTTTTTGCTGTATTTATAATTACTTCAATAACGTGATTTTCATTTCGACGTCTTCATTTATGTTCACAAAATTTCATGACACACGAATCGAATGCAAAAAGTTTCATTTAGATTCAACCTACTGCAAAAATTTGGTAGGTTTTTTGCCTCATTGCCTCCCATAAATGGTTTGAGTATGTCTACCAAGAAAAATCATATAAACAGTTTTGGTAAAAGTATGCCACCTTTTCTTCAACTTTCGATGAATTATATTGATGCTGTATATTTTTATAAATAGTTTTAAAATTTTTAACTAGATGAAAATAAAAATGCAATTTATTAACGGAGTTCCAGTTGTGTATTGATGATTATCTATTTACAATCTAAAATATCGGACATAACTGGTATTAACTTAAAAATATCAAAATTCGCAAAGTTGATGACAATCAATAACTATAACGAACTAATGGAAATACTGTGATTTCTTTTTTCTGGAAATAAAGTCATAAATTACGTTAATAAATTAATTCTCTAGTTTTTGCCTTCCAATTTCTTTTTTAATGATTCTGGCATTTCTGGTGGTGGTGGTCGTGGCATTCTCATGGCAACCTAGAAAATTAAATAAAGTTAGTAAAGTTTTCAAAATCCACAACATTCTTACTTATCAAAAATTATCAACTGTTTATTTAAAGAAATATTATCAAAAATAATGACCTCTCAACTAATCAATTATTAAGTTGATAAAAGTTATTAAATGTTGACATAAAATCTTATAATTTCTTCCGCATGATGATATAGAAAAATAGAGAAGGTTCCATCCAAGCAGTCATGTTGTCATTTTTTTATTATGAATATGTTGGGCATCATCAATGCCGAGGGGTAAGGTAATCAACAAAGAATTAAGACAAAGTGAGAAAAAAAGTCCCACTTTTGAACAAGCAAAAGTTTCAATAATGTAAAGATGATTCAATCTAATGATTTGAAAACTGCTTCAGTGACTTTAAAGCACAGATATGGTAGTTTAATCTACATGACAATGAATAAAGAGTAATAGAATAGAAAGTAATAATATGGGCATACTATAAAAAAGACACTTAAGATTTGATTTCATGTATAGTGCCTCTACTATTCTCTTATACGCATGAACTTTCTTGCCTTTTACAATTTTCAAAGCAAACACACGATAAATGGACAAACATGGGGAATATAAAATTGCATTTCATGACATATCTATTCATCTAGGCAAGAACCTTTCATAAACTCAAAATAAACGATTAACTAAAGATATAGAAAAGAAAAATAAGATTTGATTTCACCATGAAATCAAATCTTTTCTGCCATAGAAAGTATTTGATTTTTACGTTCAAGTCGAGGTTAAAACCCAGTTGCTCTGAGTCCTGAAAGAATGAAATGAAATCAAATTCTAACTGTCTTTTCTGCATCTCTGTTCAGGTCTTAAAATCCAGTCGCTCTGAGTCCTGAAAGAATGAAATGAAATCAAATTGTAACTGTCTTTTCTGCATCTCGATTTACTTCTTTATTTTGAGTAAAAGAAACCAGTTCATGAAAGGGTCTTGCCTAGATGAATCGATATGTCATGGAATGCAATTTTAAATTCCCCACTTTCGTCCATTTGCCATCTGTTTGCTTTGAAAATTGTAGAAGGCACAGATTTAAGTAATAATCTGAATGTTGGTTTCGAACACTTAGAAATCTTTGGTTTTCTACTTTTTGTTTTTACAAGCTTACTACTTTTAAATTAACAACTAAAACTGAGTCTAAATCTGAAAAACGATTTAATAAACTGAAAAATATTAAATATATTTCTAGTAATGTTATTATCAAATGATTGTCTCACAAAATATCTGTGACTTGTTTGAACCAAAAAGTTAATATATTTCAAATAAAAACAAAATTGTATTGTAGAAATTAATATAAGACATACAATATATTTTATTTGAACCTACGACGACTGGTTTCAAACACGAAAATTTCTTGTTGATCTCAATCTCCGGAAATGATAACTTAAATGATGCTGGTTGATGGTTTTTATCTTATTACATATAGAAAAATGTGGGATATGTCTTAAGGAGAAAAGCAACCTAGTGTTGGATATAATTAAAAAAAATTGATTGATATTTGTGTGACTACAAGGGATGTTGTATTTAGAAAATTATTTTTATTGGAGTCCCAGTTGAAAGGGACTCATGTGCAACCCATTCACCATTTAAAAACAAAATTGTTACCAATAATTTCCTTGTGAAGTTTAGTAAACATTTTCTCAACTGAATTAAAAGACACTTTGTATTAAAAAGATACAGTACAGAATCATCAAAATGGAAATGTAATTATTATGCTTCTTCATAATAGCTAAACTCATTGTATATGATTCAAAAAATTTTTAAACAGTTTTTTTTTAATCAAACATTATCAAATTAAAATAAACTAAAGATGATAACTATCTTATCAATTGTAGTACTAACCTTGAAGGCGTCATAGATGAACCACTGCAAAGCAGTTAATGTACCAATCATTACAATCCTAGGTGTTAATCCCTTCCATAATCCAGCCATTCCCAATTTCTTAGCTGCATCAAGAGCAGTTGATCCCTTTTCTTGGTTCAATTTACTGACAACAGTATCAGCAGGATGTGATACAATAGCACAGAATACACCAGCAATGTAACCAGCAGCAAATGTAACAACCAATTGTTCACCTTTAGTGCAATCAGCACGTGGTTTAGGTACTACATATTTGTAGAGAAGTTCGACTGTACGCTCAAAGCATGCGAATTTCATCATGGTGTATGGGATTTGTCTCATCCACAAAGGAACAAGTGATTTGTAGAATCCATTAAGACCTAAAAATTAATATATAGTAATTGGAGGAAAGAAGTCTTTACAGAAGATCATACCTTCTTCTTTGTAAATTTTAGGCCATGCTTCACGGAGAGTGTTAGCAAATCCAGGTGTGGTTTGGATTTTGACTTTAGCAGCTTCCATGGGTGATAAGGCAATATCAGCAAAGAATTCAGCAGTGGCTGAAGCAGACAAGTACAACCAAGTTCTGTAGAGGTAAGCATTTTCCTCACCAATCATATCACCATAGATTACTTTGAAAACTTCATAAAGACCGAATTTGCAAAGACCTTGAGCTGAATAACCAAAGAAGGTTGGGGCCCAACCTTTAGCTAAACCTCTTGTACCATCTTCTTTAAGTGTTACTTTAAAACCATTAAATACACTTTTGTATTTAGCAGGATCTACTTGGATACGGCATTTTACTAAATCAAGTGGTACTACAGCTGTATGAGTAATACCACATGAGAGGATACCTGTAAATCAAAAAATCTTAATTAATATTGGTCTATAAAGATTATATATTAGTAAATACGATTTTTTTATACTAGCAAATAAATAAGTACAATAAACACTGATTTGGTTATTATTATTGTGGTATTGAATATAATAATCAAAAAAGAGAGCTAGAAGAAGTCATTATTCTTTACAATTGCTTTACAACATGTTAAGAATCCAATGAGTAGTTTTAAAGGGGTAGTGAAAGAAGTATGAAAATTTATCAGTCATAGGATGAAAAAACTGACAATAATTATGAAAAAATCTATAGTAAAAATGTTGTAATATGTATATAACAATTTTTGACAAATTGTTGTTAATAAATCATAGAAATATAATAATTCCAATGAAAGACAAAATTTGAAACTACACCTATAAAATATTAAATGAATTAAACTTTTAAAAAGAGAATCGTAAACAATTCCTTTGTTACAATAACATCAGTTAGGAAAACAACAGAATAAAGATGTTGGTATAAAATATTTTGTTAATCTGAAAAGCAAAAACAAAATACTATAACCACTTAAAACAAGAAAATGTAGTTTTATGATGTGTCTGAAGTCATGAAAAGGAATATATTAGGCTTAATAATTTAAATGTCTACTATATTCATTCAAACTAGTTGAGAAAACTATCATTTATATATTCCTTAATGTGCAAATTAACACCTATGCTTCTACCAACTTAAGATATATAGTGAAGTTTCCATTAGAAATTGAAGATCTTTTTTAAATAGATTTTTGGACAAAGACACCCAGAAAAGTCTTCCTTTTGGTTCCACAGTCCACTGTGGGTGGTGACCTACTCAAGAACTTTGTGGCAACAGCTATTTGGAAGACTTGTTTTGCTTCAGAATCATCAACTGTAAATCAATGACTCATCCTAGGTAACGATCATTTGAAGTCTAGTTTCATCATTTGCAACAATTTCCAAGTTGTCTAGAGGAACTTCTAAATGAAAATTTTTCTTCTGTTATGGACAATTTTGTATTGTTTTCCGATCATACACCAGTGTATGTTCAAATTGTCCATTACAATTCGCAAATAAGTTAAATTTCAGTAATTACAAAATGTAATGAATAAAGAATGAAAAAAAAAATGTAAAAACGCATGCTATTACAAACTAGACATTCCCAACAGGTAACTGCAATATATGACAATTTTGCGAAGAGTTAGTGATTACACTCATACTCCAGAAGGATATTTTCAACTTTTGTCTTTTTCATGATGAATTTGATTTATTCAAACAATAAAAAAGAATCAACCATGGAAAAAGAAAATAATTCACTTCCTTTTCTGAATGTGTTTATCACAAAAGAGGATACTTAAAAAGGATAGGAAATAAGTACAATATCACAACACCTTTAAAAACAAACAATACAATCAGATCTATCCTGTCCAAAATCAAACTGAACAACAGAAAAGAAGAGATCAAAGAACTGCATCTATAATATACCTTGTGAATGAAATAAATTCTATATAGGAGAAACTGCAAGACCTCTAGGTGTCCAGACTCCACAATAGAGGAGATAAGACTCCTCTATATAGACGCCTCTGAGTATTTATTCTCACTTTATGGACAATTTCAGCATTTCTAGCTGTCCTGAACATGAAATATACATCAAAAACAGGGACTTCCATAAATATGCAAACATGCCTGGGACAATGAATACAAAGTAAAATGGAAAGTTGCTTCAATAATCATCCCAGCAGCTAAAGAAACAGCTCTTGTCCCAATTAATGAAATAAAAATGTGTAGCAAACCCATCAGCAGAATGTAGCAAGCTTTGGGTGTCAATACTAAAAGAAGAAATCAACAACAAGAATATACCAACAATAGCAGATTAAGAAAGTTTGAGACATGTGGTCCACAAGTGTATACAATACATTATATACAACACACAATCACAATACATGAGCACATAATGCACTTATACAGGCAATAATCAGAATTTGATATCCTAAGGGCACAAAATCCATACTCAGATTTTTTCAGCCAAATGCCTGGCTGGCCTTTGCCTTTAACACTGTTGCCAAGTAAGTCAACTGTCAATTTTGAAAAGACATAACCCCCTCAACAACTTCAGTGGTTATTTTCACACTATTCTGAAATAATCTTTCTTGAAAACGATTTCTGGAGTGGAAATTGAAATGTCAAATTTTAAGTTAAAATGTAATTTTCATTACAATCAATTGTGGGTTAATCTAATATGAACACAATATTACCTTAAAACTAGTAAAGCATAATTAGATGAAATAACTAAAATTAGCTTTATTTCATTCTATACAGTGTTAGATAAAGAAAATTAGGAAAACAAAATACAATTTAGAAGCTCTAGTAGATAAATATATAAATAAATTAAATTAAAACAACATATATTCTCTATTCAACAAATTACATCGTGGCAAAAACACTACAAATCTAAATTTTGGGTACCTAAAAATGTTGTGTTTATAAGACAGCACCCTAATATGGGCTTTTTATACTTTCAGCATTTAATTTAGTTTGTACCATTTGACCTGAAGATACTTTGCAAATTGTAGAAAGCGAAACCAGTAGTTTTTGAAAGTAAAATTAAATTGATTGTAAGTCTTATTTTATTTCTTTTTACCTATTTAAAAAATAATAATAAAAAAAATGTAGGTTGTTTCATTGTGATTATAATAGATTTTATCACATTTCATACATTTGTTACACTGTTTTATTTACATATTTTTTAGATTCTTTGATGCAAAAAAATTATTTATATAAATAACGTTAATATATCAATGTGTTGCAACCTAATTTTTTTTAAATATCAATAAATCACTTACCTCCTAGACCACAAAGAGCAAAGTAGTGTGCTGATCCAAATTCACAACTGTCACCTTCAGCAGCAGCGGCTGCTGCAATTTGTCTTCCAGCTACCAATGATTTTACTAATCCTCTTGGTGAGTCATCAACTGGTTGTGGTAAAGTTTGGTTTTCAGGTAAAGCCTGGCAAGAGGCCTTGTTAAAGAAGGCGGAAAACATTTTTGGTCTTGGAAATTCGGTCCTATAACAAAGCTTTTTATTAGGATATACTAGCATTAAGTACACTTAAAATATAAATCACACAATGGCTGTAATTAATGTTTTCTCTTACTTTATTTTAATTCCTTCAGAGCATTATACAATTTGGAATATGAATACAGTGTAATCCTTTTAATCAGCTGACAGCAGAACACATCACAGTTTGTTCAATGCAGCCACTTTCTTAAACTCTAAACTAATACTATCCAGTATCTATATGACCAACACATAATATGTCGAATATATCCCTTTAAGCAAATTGTAATCTGGTATTTGTGCCAAAAAAGAAAAAGGACACAGAAAGGATAAAGCTTTGAAGAGAAAGTGGCAAAAGACGAGGGAAGCCATAAGAATTTTATAAATCATGAAAAAGATAAATATGCCATCTAATACTGTAATAAAATCTTGACAATGATATTGATCAGATCTTAAGAAACAGATCATCAGATCTTAATAAACATATACATAATACATATTAGCAACAACAAATCAAAATAAAACTAATTATAATACAATCCAATGGTCTCCTCACAGAAAATAATACAATGGAATTGCAAACAAAAAGGTATTGAAAGATTACATTAAAATAATATATAAAGCAACAATGTATGATGTTATACCTTTATTTGATGGTAGTTGTATTATACAAGGTATAATATAAATGTTGCATATATTGCAGGTATACTTAGAAAATAGTTCCAGTTGCCACAGGCTGGTTAAAAGGAAACACTGTAATTCTTAGCCACTTTTATGGCTTTACTTGTATGTCTTTATAATTTATATCTATAAATATTGATGGATTATTACTTTATCGCATCTATAGATATCTAAGTCATATAACTTATTTTTATTGTAGATAATGTCATTATAACAAAAAATTCAATGTTGTAAATTTCAATCAATTTTTGACGTATTACATAACCTAAATATCTGCAAAATTATAAAACTGCTTTACCCTTTACTACTACTATAAATCATTAAACAAACAAGCAATTCGACTTCGACATCCAAATTTATTTTATTTGAGGAAACCTACAAAATATGTGTACGTTTCCAATAAATGCAATACAACTTTTGTTACATAAGCACAAAGTTATAATTAGTAAAGTGGTTCAAAGATCAAATTTGTTTTCCAGTTCGATTAATCGCTGCAGTGGGAAAAACAAAATCCGTGAAATAGAACGATATCCATTCAATTTAATACAGTAAAACTTTAAAAAAATGTCAACTTACCTTCGATAGTTATGGCCGACTCACAGCAAAAGGTGGCTGCTTGTAAAATGGATTTTTAGCATACGCGACTGCGCATACTTTTGTTCTAGAGGGTAGCACGTGGTCTTTGATCACTGTTCAAGGGCGTGTCAAACTCAAACGAAAATAATTCTTCAAGGATATTCAACATGAAAAGTGCATTTTAATATTTGATAAAAAAAATTTCCATGTAAAAATTAAAGTCGAATTAAATTTCGCGCCTGTTTCTACTCTTTATTTGCCGTAACTTATTTCGTCATCAGCTACACAGGAAATTTTTGAATTTTTTATATTGCAACAATAAAAAATGTATTATGTATATATTTTTCTCTCCCTGAAATCTGCTATATACACGGTGTCCCAAGAAAATGTATACCTCCTACCCTAAAAAAAATTGAAAAATAGACATACAAAAATCCAACAACCGGTCGATTTTAACATGGGGCTCAAATGACCCATAATTTGGAAAGAGTTTTCATTATTTACACAACTGTTTTTAATTTTTTTTCTAAATCGATTAATAAGTTACCAACAAATCGCGTTTTAAAGTTTGTAGAGGACACTTTTTTTGAAAAACAAATAGGTATAAAACAGAATATTTAAAAGTTTTTAAAACATTTATTTCGAAAACTTAATTTTAAATGTTTCTAGAACACAACAAAAAAAAATGAAGCGAATGATAACGAAAGACTTGTGAAACTGGTATGGGAGGAGATTCCCACAGGCAAAAGACCACTCGGACGTCCTAGAATGCGATGGAGAGATAACATCCAAGCAGATCTCCGGAAAATGAACATTCCATTTGACCCTAGGTTGATGGAAAACCGAACAAATTGAAAAAAAGTTGTACAGTCAGCCAAGACCCACCCAGGGTTGTAGCGCTACGTGATGATGATGATGAATAAAACATATATTTTTGCAAAAAAACACATTTAATTTTTTTGTGACATTTAATATTAAAAATAAAAGGTGTCCTAAATTGGGATAGCCAGGTATCTAAACTTGAGACAGGTACCATTAATTTGAGATACTATTCAAAAAAGCCCTTTCCTTCCCAGAAAAGGCAAATAAATGACTGGACTTTATTTCTCCACAGTCTTCATGTGCCCACCTGCCACATTGATAAAACTTTTGCCCTTCGTTCGCCAAATCTATCGTCGGAAAATTAGCCGCTGCAAAATAGACATTCAGCGTCGTTTTTTCCACTTTCGTTGTAGACATGTTTTGCCTTTTGATGTAGAAGGTTGACCTACGTCTTCATCTGCTATTTTTTCTTCGGGCGTTGCTGTTTTTTTTTTAATCTAACACCTTTTGTTGAACTGTTTTTTTTCTGGAGCAAATACACAATCCAAGTTTAGCTGGAGTACTAGTTTTTTGCTTTTTTCTTCATACTTTGCTCTAATTCTTCTTTGTAGGGTGTGTTAGAGGAATTAATGAAGCCTTTTCTGATCTTGCATGCGGTTTTTTTAGTGGTATCTCTCTTGTAGAATGTAGGGATTAGACAGATGTCTTTCGGAGAAACAAGTTGTTGATGAGGTTGTGGTGGACTAGGAGTTCTATGTTCTCACATTGGATGATTTGGTTGTTCATGGTTTGGTTCTATTATTTGTTCGTCCTTTTCGTTTTGTGTTTCTAAGTGCTCTTGAATTCCAAATTCAAAGTCTCTAAAAATATGGCGACAAATAGGAATCAGTCCAGTTTATTTTTCAGAAACCATTGAAAGATATTTTCATCGTCGCAGCTTTGTTATACGCTTTACAAAAAATACTAGCAATTTTCTATTTATTGTGCATAGTGATAAGTTTTCTGCGGTGCCATAAAAGTAACATCCAACGGTTGCATTTTATGTGTAGAATGTGATGGGAGGCAAATAATCGTCACATGATTCTGTTTGGCCAAATCTATTAGAGCAACGTTTCTCATATGAGAATAGTGACCATCAAGGACGAGAAGAACAGGGTCTGCAGCTGAAGGTTTAGTAAATTTTATGAAGTGTTGTAGCCATCTAGTGAAAATATCGGCCTGTACCCAACCTGACACATAGCATTCTGCGACTGCTCCAGTGGAAGCCCCTAGCATCAACTCTGTTTTCATATTTTTTCTAGGGAAGATTAATAATGGTAGTACGAAAACTCCTGCAGCATTTATATATACAATAGCAGTAATCAGCTTGCCCTTTTCTGCTGAAGTAAGTGACGAAACATGCTTCTTCTCTCTCTTGGAAATTACTTTGCTATGTTTGTGCTGAACAATTGTAAGGCCCGTTTCGTCTACATTGAATATACGTTGTACAGGGTTAGTAGACTTAATATATTCTGGTTCATACATGTCAAAGAACTTGAATACAGTTTCAGGAGTAAAAGATTTTACTCGAGCAAATGACATTCCCTGGAGAGTAAGCATTGAAAGTGTCGGATGACTTTTCAGAAAGTGTCTCAACCATTTCTTTCCGGCTGATTTTTTGACTCCGCTAAATGAATGTGGTGTTGAGTTTCGTATTGCAAGTTGAAATCCCAGTCGTTTCATATCACGCGCTCTTAGCCCGAAATAACGTTGCTCCATAGTTAGGGCATACCCAACCAACTCATTTTCTAATTCCAATGGAAGAATAGGTCGGCGGCCAATTGATATCGCGACGAGTTCTTCTGGAGTCTTGTCCGATTTCACATATCGTTTTAAGGTAACTTTTGGTGCTCCAAAAACTTTTTAGGCCTTCAAATAGCCCATCTCTCTATTTATTACTGTATTTACAGCCCTTATCATATCATTTGCGTGTTATTTTTTTTATTTTTTGGCGGTATCTACAAATAAAAAATCACATAAAAATAAAAATTTTACACGGGATCCTAATTTGAGACACTCTCAAATTTGGAACCTACAGGTATCTCAAATTAGGATTTTTCCGTTAAAAATAAAACGCATTTTTGTTGGGTTATGTATGCCACACAATTACTTACATGCTAATGTTTACTTACTGTAATTACTTACATACTAATTAAATTTGCATAAAATGTATTAGCTAATATTAAACTAACAAAAAAAATGGAGTACATGTAATCATCTTACCTTGATGTATTGTAAGTTTATCTAAAATTCCGAAAAAAATTGTGTAATGTGTAAATCAAATTAACGTCGAAAAAACAACAAAGGTCACTTTTAAGCGTCAACTAAAAGCAGGTAGTGGTCTGTAGATCTACCACTACTGTACAGAATGATCAGTTTTCAATATTTTCACTAGATGTCACCCTATCGTACCCAAATAATACGACGGTGTCTCAAATTAGGCGCCTGTCTCGAATTCGGTGCCTTTCCTACTACTCCCTTCGGAAATTTGTATTTCTCTAAAACTCGCCAAATTAAATGTTTTGACAAAAATCCAAAGACCAGTTAACTTTTATATATCGAGAGGAACCAATTGTTTATGAAAAAATAATTCTTTCAAATTTAACTCTGTGCTGGGGTTTCAACCCCCTTAAAGTTTTTAATGGCATAATAATCAAGTGACCTATAATTTGGCAGCGAATTTTACTACTCATAAAACCGATTTTATTTTTTTTAATAAATTTGCTGTTTATTTACAAATGGGGTTTACAATTTTTCGGTCTTTGGAACTCCCAGTACAGAGTTAAAATTGAAATAATTATTATTGCATAAATAATTGTCCTCGATATAAAAATTGACCGGTTTTTGGATTTTTGTGAAAATATTTTGCCGAGTTTCATCGGGTACAAATCTTCATTGGGACACCGTGTATAAGTTTTCCGATAAAATCGGATTATGTAGTTCTGGATACCTAGGTCCCTTGTATTAAAGTGAATCAAGCCTATTCAAGTAACAGTAGGTTCTGTAGAAGCTGACTTACTGTTTGTGATTATTAAGACCTATTTATGGCAGAGACAGTTAAGTTTGAAATCGCCTCTCAGTGATCAGAAGAGTCACCAATTTCTTAGTCTTCTTGCAGGTCGTCTCTTTTGGTCTCAGTGTCCATTTTATTCCTACGGAATGGGAGAAAATGTAGCAAGCATGAAGAATGCCTGTAACGTACCAAGATTATAACACCTAACAACGTTATAATCTCCAGAATTCGCCATAAGTGATGTTATCTGTACAAGTAAGAAGAGCTTCATAAATACATTTTTGTAACATATCTTCCAATCTAAAATATCCAAGATAAACTACTGCTTGAAGTCCAAGATAACTGAAGCACTTCCTGGAGCAGATGTCCCTTCACATCATAACTTATTAAACAGTGACATATAACTTAAACTTAACAAAGTAAAATACCTACAAGCAACTAATCCAATACTATTCGAAAAACTGAGTTTCTGTTCTATTCAGTTGAAACTGACTATTCGAAATAAGCCAAGAAATTATACACGAGCTAGAAAAGAAGTACAAAAAATCGGAGGAAAACATAAAGCTGAAGACCACTGAAATCAGATCAAAACCATCATTCAAGAACAAAAAGCATAAATTTATTTATAAACTCAAAAAGCAATGGATGACTGACGAAATCTTGAGATGAAAAACAGATGAAAATAGAAAAGTAAAAAAATCTGAAGAATACAACAAAATCAATAAAGAAATAAGAAGGAAAATTCGGAATGAAAAAGAAAAATGGTGCAACAGCAAAGGTTCTAAAACAGAAGAACTGCAGAAAAGGAATGACACGTTGAATATGTACAAAATGTGCGAGAAATAATATAGGTCAACTGCAGTATACTTGATAAACAAGGAAATATTATAGTCATTGAATAAGACAAACTGAAGACGAGAAAATATATTGAGAACTGTTTGATAACGAAAGAACAGAAATTCAAATGGAAAATATATTGACTGAGCCAAAGAATGTTCGATGAAATGGAAAGACCTATAAAATTACCAAAGAATAGGAAAGCAACCGGACCAGATTAAATTGTCACCGAAATATTCAAACTACTCAAAGATAAAGGTACATATCATCTTCTAAACATCTTCAATAAAATATATGAAACAGTTCATATACCAACAGAGTGGCTACTGTCAAAATTTGTAAAGATACCTAAAAAATAAACGCTAAACAATGTAGTTATCATCACACCATCGGTCTGATGAACTATGTACTGAAAATTTACTTAAGAATGGTTCAAAGATATATGATCACCAACACCGTATTAACAAAAATTTGTGTTGGCATCAATGTATTATCATACGAATTGGCAAGAACGTGACGGAAGCAGTGTAGCTATATATTAGCTAAACAAGTAGGCATTGAAATCAAAGGAATTAATGTCTACAGAGTGAGAGAAGCAGATGATGAATATGGGCTAAAACTTAATACTTAATATTGTCAGCAAAACGGAGTAATAATCAATGAATATCAGAGCATATAAAATAATGTTAGAAAGAGGCAACACTATCACCCTATTTAAGCGCTGACGTCACCATCACCATTTCACCATCATATTACGTATTGCGGAGATACTTTGTTTTTCGGTATTTTTTTTTGGGAGTACATAAATCGACCTCTAATGTTCGGTTCTATCCTGATACTATGTTTACTGAAGACCATACAGACTACTTTATGAATGTTAAAAAAGTCATATTTTTTTCTCAATTTCTTCTAGTTCTTGGCACTGCTCATGTAACATTCTCTCCTTAGCTTCTTTTATTCTGTTTTTAATTAATCGATCAGTCTCATTATATTTAATTGGATTTTTTGTTTTGAAAGATTTTCTTTCATTCATTAATAGTAGTATTTCTTCAGTCATCCAGTCTTTATGTTTTCTTTTCTTTGGTTTTAATTTTTCATTTGCTGTTTTAATTATTGCTACTTTATATTTTCCCATTTCTGATCAATGTTATAGCTTCTTTTATTCAGTTCTTGGACATTACGTAGATTTTCAGTAAGAGTTTTTACAGTTTATTTATTTGGTTGTGGTTCCATTAATCTCTTAATATCAATTCTACTTTGTGTGAGTTTTTTAACCAGTTTCAATTTGGTTCGTAATGTGACTACTATGGGGTTATGATCTGAACCGATGTCTGCTCCAGGGTAAGTTTTGACAGACAGTATAGAATTACGAAATCTTTGTCTAATGAGGACAAAGTCAATTTGATTTCGGATTATTCTATTCGTTGTATCACCGGGAGAATTCCATGTATACAATCTTCTTTTTGGTAGCTTAAAAAGTGTATTAGCTATTTCAAATTCCTTCGTCTGGCAAAATTGTATCAAACGGTCAGCACGTTCATTTCTATTTCCTAGACCATATTTTTCCACATATCCATCCACCCTTCCCTGGCCAACTTTGGCATTGAAGTCGCCCATTACTATTGTAATATGATGTTTCTTCATTGATTTTAAGACTTGTTCCAAATCATGGTAAAATTGTTCGATATCGTCGTCACCTTTATCTGCCGTAGGAGCATAAATTTGAATGATAAATTTGAACATTTACGATACCTTTTTTAGACTGAAGTTGTATTGATAAGATCCTATCAGAATAAGGAGTAAAACTTCTCACAGAGTAATTGACCTTTTTTGCAACTAAGATAGCAACACCATAGCGATGATTGACCTCATTGTTACCTGAATAATAGATGGTTCCATTATTTGTAATTTGTTTGCCTGAACCTGGCTACTCATACCTAAAACATCAATTTGGAGGTTTTCCATTTCAAGAAGTACGTTCGCTAATTTACCACTTGTGTATAGACTTCTGACATTCCAGGTTGCTATTTTCAGTGTCTTAAGTGCACAGGGATTTCTCTGGTTTACGACCTGGGAGGCCCTGTGATCTACGGTTATACCTCCCCTGCCGGATCTTGGATTCCGTGTTCCATAACCAGTAAGTTTGTTTACTCTCCTTGTCATTTGCCATTCATGACTTTATGATAATATAATAAATATGACATAATAAATTAGAAGCAACTACATGTCTAGAATAGGTAAACCTTGTTATTATTTGCAAAAAAACTTCATCGCATTAATACTTTAGACAGTTTATGCTCTGTATATGACCAATTCCATATGAGGTTTGTTATTCTAAGTACTCTTTAACACAACTATTAGGGTTGTACTTATTGTTATACCACAGATTCTCATAGTGTTGCATCCATTGGTGTTCGTTAATGACTTGGAGTGGGTGATATTTGTTTCTATTCTGTTCATTTGCTTTATTTTGTAAGCAAAAGTTTGGCTTAAAATAATAGCCTCAATTAAATTTTAGTAAGAAATAAAAAATGAATTAAAATAAACTTTCATAATCAATACTTTATTGTAGCCAAAGATAACACGTATAAATTATATTTTTATATAAAAAACCAAAAATTTGAAGTATTTATGAAATCATTTTCCAGACCCAAAATTAATTTTAAGATGTGAAACAAAGATAACTAAGAAAGAGGTAGTCAATAACAGATCATTTTAGTGAACAAAATCCAGAATAGTTTAAAAAATATATTTTTAATTTCTTAAGTAATCCACTGTTTATGCATAATGCTGACAGCAATATTTTATACATTTAAAATGAAATTTTTAATCCGGTGAAATAACTTTTACTCTTTAGTCCGAAGTTAAAGTAGCTTAGACAACAAATGACATCTAAATTATTAATAATTATTTATTATTATTAATATTAATTATTAATAAATAACAAGGGTTACTATTTTGACAAGCGGTAATTATCTTTGAAGCAGATTTGTTGCATTTACAACGTCAAGATACTGATAATTATGTATGTCACTTAAAGAAACCTTTAGAGGGATTTACAAACATAAACTGGCTCGTATCTCTCGTATTTGAGTGGAATGATTGTAGGATTGAAGGCGGGGCGAAAAAGAAATCCTAAATCTTTGGCTTCGGTAGAAATATGTAGTTCTCTTATAAGCGGATCTGTGTCAATTATATATCGTGCTTTAAAGATATCGAAAACTGATTGTAAAAATTATGTAAAAAAGGAAACACGAACCAGAATGAAAATAAAAGTCGATTACGAAACGAGACATATAACTTGTAGACAATTTGACATCTCGCGATTAGACAGCATTAAGATGTCGTTTGCTCACTGAACAGTTCCTTATTCTAATATTCGCATGATTCGATTGGCTAGGGACTGGCTACAGTTAAATGTCAACCAATAAAATAGCCGTGCATAAATATATATTCTGAATTTGGATGATGCAATTGACTCATTTTCTTTGAGGAATAATCACGGACATACAGTTTTTTATCTAGTCCATATATTAGAATAAAATGAGGCACTGAAAGAGGCTGTGGGAAAAATCACAAATATTTATACATTTTAAATTACAAAACCATTGACTTCTTTATTCTAAGGCACTAAGTCATTTTTGTCTAAAAATGCATTTTAAATTTGTTTTGGTTGTTTTGATCATGGCAGCGAAAAATATACAGTAAGATTATTTTTAGACTCAATAGGGCATAATTGAAATATTATGAACATGAACGAGTAAATAAAAAATAAAATGGGACAAAAATACTGCTGCACACATTATACATACTATATAGCATTGACATTAAAGACAGGGTGATACAAGTTAATACAAGTAGGTATATTACTTTTAAATCTCATTATGTGACTAACTAAATCTTTAAAATTGTAGCTAGTTGAACATTTTTATCAAGTCTGCCAAATAGATATTGGATAAGAAAATTGGGTTTGGTATAAATAATACTTTTAGCGCTTCTTCTTTCCCTTCTTTCGTTTCGACGTTTCTGGAGCTTCGCCTATTGTAACTGTGCCTGTGGCTATATCTTCCTTTTCGTCAGACTTTTCAATAACCTAAAAGAACATAATAATATTAGGAATCTCAAACAAGAACTAGATATTTTTAATATGTAACAAAGCCTTCGAAAAAAATCATAATTAGATCAGACCATGAAATAAGCCTTCTTTCTTTTGGATGTTTAGTCACTTACACACAAGGAATTCAAAATAAATATTACATAACCTAACTTGTGTATGAAATTGTCTGATTTCTTTAAAACACAATTTTAGATAAAATCTTAGATAAATAATATAATATTAGAAATAGATAGGCAACTCAATGTATAAATTTCGTTCATTAGGACCCCTTGGGTCATTAGTAATCATCTTTTAGTGGGAAATTCAAATGGACACCCCTTACATACATACCTTTTAGCGCCCCTTGCGGGCTTTTTCGTTACTAATTAAAATTTACTGGAAAATATCTTACTATTTTCCGATGAAATAATCTCACATATATTATTAAAAAATAAAAGGATATATAAAAAATGCACATTTTTTTTAGACATACGTATATTTATTTGTTCTTTAAGATAAAAAAGTTATAAACTAATTACATAATATTTATTACCAATATTTTCAGAAACAAAGGTTAAATACTATTATTGTTTGCTTCCTGACAATTTACAATCACCATCCTTTTTGTAATTGCAAAAACTCTTTGCTACAATAGGTAACTCAAACTAAACTTTAAAAACTAAGTAACCAACTTAAATTAAAATTACTAAGAATAAATGCAAACGAAAGTTAAAGATAATAAAATAAAATTGAAAACTTGTAAACAAACGGAAGATCTGTCATTACTTTTGACAGATTTGACATTGCGGAATTAAGCTTCGTTTAGATACTAGACAATTTTTTTGAAAATATGTTTCAAGCATATTTGGTAATGCCTTAATTCAAAATCAAAAAACTTACTGAAGAGTAATGTGGCTTTATTACACCTTAAAATTTTTAAGTTCCATTTTATTTTTGATAATAGGGGGGTATTATAAAATTTTAATCTCTTTTAATATAGTACAACAAAATAGAAAATAAATAATCCATCCAATTTGTATACTAAACATCTTCCACTTATTCTTGATAACCATTCCAGAATTCTGGAACCCTGTACTCACTTGTGCTTACAAGTATATTGGATTGGTACCATATGTGTTTGGAGTCACTGAATAGTCCCCAAAAAGTGTTGCCGGCTACGATCTAGTGTCTCGTAGTCCTGCAAGATATGTCTCGACTGTTTTGGATTCTCTTCTACAGAGTCTACAGCTTAGGTCTCCACCACATAGCACCATTGAATGTAGGTGTCCTTCAATTGGCGCATGTCCTATATGATTTTGAGCTAATTTCTGCTTTTTTGAGCAATACTTTAGCCTTATTAGCGCATGTACGTCCAACATATATTTTGCCCTGTACTTAAACGGGTATATTTTTCAATGAGAGTTATATTGTATTCGGATTCAAATTTTATTCCGGTCGCGGATAGTGCTTTTTGGCACTCCTATGGTCGGTTCTGGAACGACGAAATATTTTGTAACTGATTCTCTCTCTCTCTCTCTCTCTCTCTCTCTCTCATCTCTCTCTCTCTCTCCTCTATATATATATATATATATATATATATATATATATATATATATATATATATATAATCAGTTTATAACGTTCTTCGCCGTTTTCTGATTTCCAGTGTCCATTGGCCACGGTCATTGGTCATTCAGAAGGTACCCTTCTATTCCTCTCGCTTTTATATCCTTGTGGACTTCTTCTCTCCAACTTAGTCTCGGTCTGCCCTTCTTTCTTCTTTCATGTGATGTCCAGTTTAATATTTTTTTTTTGGGATTCTGCTATCATCCATTCTTTGCACGTACCATCTTAGTTGGTTGATTCTGATCTCCTCTGTTTCTCCTTCAATAATTCATTTCTGTTGCTTCCAAAAATCTTTATGACTTTCTCCTTCAGTGGCTATATTTTGCTTCTTGCTTTGAATTTTAATTCTGTGTTTATTTTCGCTCGAAATTGTTTTTTTCTCACATTATGCTAATGAATTGCTGAATGACTTGTCTTCCCTGGTTATTTCTGTGTTTAATCTCTTCATCCAAATTGCCATCATTGGTTATGTGTATGCCTAGATATTTATATATTTTATAGTGATTTACTTGTTGCTGTTGCTCTTCCATAATTAAATTTTGTTGTTCTATACAGATGTATTCTGTTTTTTTGACATTTACTTCTAAGCCCCATTTCTGATATTCCTGAATAAGTTTGCGTATCATATATTCTAGATCTTCATAGTCCTGAGCCAAGACTATTTGGTCGTCTGCAAAGCATAGTGTGTACAATGTAGTACAGTTCAGAGCGATTCCATACCATTACATTTTCTTTTCCACATTTTCCAGCGTTTGCTCCAAGTAGATATTAAACAAAGTCGGGGACAGACAGCACCCTTATTGAGAGTCCTTTGCCTACCAGAAACCTTTTGGATATCTCTTGGTATATCTTTATTTTGTTCGTGTTGTTTTTATGGAGTTTTTGCACTGCCTTGATTAAAGTTACGTTGATGTTTGTTTTTTCTAAAGCTTCCAAATTGTTGTTGTGGTATACTGTATGCTTTTTAAATATCTACGTATAGGAGGTGTATTGCTTGTATAGGTCTTTTTTTCTATAAGTTGGGTAATCGTAAAGAAATGGTCAATAGTCGATCTACCTGCTCCGAAGCCAGCCTGTTCTTCGCCCTCCATATTAATTAGTGTTCTCTCTTTGATTAATTTTACATAAAATCTCGAGATAGTGCCTAACACTGCTATTCCTAAGTAGTTGTCACAGTTTTTAGTTGCCTAAGTTTTTAGCTCCCTTTTTATGTATGGTTAATATAACCTATGTTCTCCATCCCACTCTTCCGGTATATTCTCCCCATTTATATATATATATATATATATATATATATATATATATATATATATATATATATATATATATTGATACATTCTGGTTAGCTGCCTGTAAAGTTTGTCGGTTCCGTATTTTAGTAGTTCGGGTGGGATATTACCTGGACCTGACAATTTTTCGTTTTTCAACATTTGACAAACTTGTTTTATTTCTCTGCTGTCTACTTGTATTTACTTATAAATCTAGTGCAAACACTTCTGACTATGGAGCTGCGAGAAGGCCGAGTCAAAATTCACGTAAAGGCAGAAAAGTTCTATTTTAAGTGGAATTATACAGTGCATAGTACAATGCGATTCGCATGGAGGTGGGGACTAATCCAAATTTCGTCTACTACGTCATGGTCACGAGTGCTTGCTCTATCTCTACATAAGAGCGTGTTTGTGGTGTTTGTAGATACTCTGTTCTTTCTTCCGTCAATAGTTTTTCAAAGTATTCGTCCCATTCACTTAAGTTAATAGGAAGGATCTCTAGTGTTTTCATTTTAAAGAGATTTAAATACTTTCCAGCTTTTGGTATTTCTGCTACCTCCCAGGTAAGTGTTAATTCCGGAGCAGTTTTGCTCCCAGCATTCGTTTTTATTTTTGGTTATTGCCCTTCGTACCTCTCTTTTAGCTGTTTGGATCCGTTTTTACGTTCAGAAATATGTTGAATTTATCACGTTTGATCTTTATTTTCTCTTCGATTTCTTTAACCTACCAATAGGACTTACTTTGTGCTGTATTTTCATACTTGCCCAACACTTCTTCTGCTGCCCCATTAAACATTATTTTATATAGTTGTATTGGTCCTCTACACTATTAAAGTTTTCGAATATGAGTTTTTCATCAAGTCATTTTTGTACAGTACTTTTGAGCTTTCTTTGTTAAAAGTTTCCAAGCTGTACTTAATTTCCAGAGTTGATTTGTTTTGCTCCTGCGCATGTTCTTTTTTCTTGGATATATTATTACAACAGCGCATATTTTTATAAATAAATCACGAAATACAATCCATCCGTGTGATTTTTAGTCAAATGAATTGCAAGATAATTTGTTTTATTGACAAAGTGGATTAAAGAATAGCTGTGAAATGCTATCGATTAGTCAAAAAATAGGTTAAAGTACAAAGACATTTCCATATAAAAAATTAAATAAAAAAGAAGTATACCATTTATGATATTAAAATAATTTCGCACAGTTACATGCTAGTTGTAAGTCCCTGGTCTTGGGAGAGAGCATATATCTCCACTAGATAAGCGATATTATGATCTCTCACACTTCTACCAATAAATATATTATGTAGCACTCATATCAAATATTTCCAATTACCAGAAATATATAGTCCCACTAAAATTATTTGTCTTTTTGATAATGTGTTTTTTTATTTATAAATACTGACGTTCCAAATCTTAACTTGCCGCAAATATATTTTTTTAAAAACACCAATATGTTTTGAAATCATCTGGCAAAATGTTAGATCCGCTAAAAAGATTTGGCTTATTTATTTTCTCCTTATATCGATGGAATGACAACTGTTCTTGTATGAGCTCATTCTTAATTGACGTACTGGCGCAATTGCCGATGTAAAATATGATGTCTGTCTCTCCCACTACATTAAATCCAATATGACCCAATTTCAAAAAATATAAATCAAAATGAAATGAAAAGATAAGGATTCTTTAAATTTATATCACTCTAAGTATATTAGAAAAAAAAATAAATACCCTCTGAGCATCTATAAAGAACATAAGATCTCGAACTTGTTCTTTTAAATCAGTAATTTCTGTTTCTTTGTGCGATCTCAGCTCGTTAAAGTTCTCTTCCAGCTTATTAATTTTTGTCTGCCATTGTTGCTGATTATTCCTTAAAGCTTTGCCTAATTGTCGCTCTTCACTTAGATCGTTTAGGGTAGAAGTTAACCTAAAAAAGATAAATAAAATGTTTGCAAAGGATATCAAGAAAAAAAATATCGACGTCCGCTTTTCCTTGTAAATAATTGTAATCTGTAAATATTACCGTATAATATAAAAGAAAACATGGATAATACAACGCTTAAACTGTAGGAATGAGAAATGCGCATGAACCACCTGACTAAGTAAGAAAAATGCGCAGTTGGATGAGTAAACCTCTGCATGGGCAACATCCCAATGAGATCAATCAAGAATATGTCGACAATACAGCGTCGAACTATTGGTTGACATCAGGAAGGATGTTTACCGAGACACAGGGTTTTCTACTTGCCATTCAGAATCATGCTATTCCAACTAAAAAATACCTGAAATATATTGTTAAAGATCCTCAAGTAAAACATAACAAATGCCGATATGAATGCCAAGCCCAAGAAACCATCCAACATCTTACCGGAGGCTGCCAGGCGTTTGTCGATACTTATTATAAAGAACGTCACGACTGTACGGACTTCTTTCCTACGAAATCCTTTGTGGGACTTCTCCAAACCGACCATCTTCCTAGTTATCAATACGTCCCTGATATAATGCTTGAAAACGACAACTACAAGCTATTTCTGGGACCAACCAGTGGCACATAATAGACCGGATCTCATACTACTTATTAAACTTACTAGGCAAACAACACTAATTGATGTGGCGATACCTAACAACAATAATCTGCGTATAATCGCCAAGTACAGAGATTTAAAAATACAAACAAGCAGACAATGGAGAATGGAAAGTACCCAGACAGTACCTATTATTCTATCTACTACTGGTATTATTCCGAAAAACCCTCTAGAAAACATAAAACAGCTGGGTCTTAATAAACATCTCCATAAGACCATGGAAAAAGCTGTACTCTTCGCGATGTCCAGATGTGTACAAAAATTTTTGGGAGATACTCCAATACCAAGTCACCTACAGCTCGATAACACGGAAAGAGTCCCACCAGAGCTCAATCCTTTTGATACCATAGGTATCTGGGTTGAGTGAATTTTCCCCGTAGTGGGAGTATGCGCTTTATGGCTAAATCTGGAATAAATTTTCAAAACATCCACAATAAACTACAATGGTTTCCTTGTTTAAAAAATATATACTTATACACGGAAAACGGACTTTGCAATCAAATCGAAGACCCTGGTACTTTAATGTGAAAAATTCTTTTCAACATAAAATAAAAAAAAACAAATTTCCTGATGAAATCAGTTAATGTCTGGCCTCTCATAAATAAACAAATTATAGCCTCCAGATTCTCGCAAATGAAATGCCCCTAAACTTACGTCGTCACTGGTTTTATTAAACTTTGCACACTTAACATAATTTAAAAATATCTACTAAGACAAACCTGTTAAACAAGTCTCTTTTCATGATAAAATAAGCGCCGTTAAAACCAAAACGGCACTTGCAGCAATATAAATCCATACATAACAATAGAAAATATACAATAAGGCTTCCATACACTAGCAGCATCTTTACATGCGAAGATTGGCCGTTATTCGAGAATTTAAATCCTTTTTAGAAACCTCTAAATTTCATTGGCATGAAGAGCTAGGTACATCAAGCGAGAGTATTTCTATTTTCGACAAAATACACTGAGATGATCCCAAAAATTCCATCAAGCACCCATGTTCTTAATTTATGGCAAATACGATGGGAAAAAACGAAAAACAAACTGAAGGAAATTCTAGAATCTGTTACGAGCCAACTGCCTCGACCTGGTGCAAGACATCATATTAGGCATTCAGCACAATAAAACTTTTATAATATTCATATTTTATTTAAAAGAGGATTTGTTAAAAATCTGTGCGGCTTAATGAAAATCAACGCCACTAAAGTGTCGTTGTATTGTAAGTAAATATAGACGATGATATGAACACTTTTTTATACTGATATAAATTTTACTAACTTTGAATGCTGTTGTTGAACCTTTTTCTCCAGTGCCTGTTTTTCTTTTGTAACATTCGCAAGTTTAGTTCTCAGCTGTTTATTTTCTTCAGATACAGCTGCCATATTTTCTCTTAACATTTTTGTTTCTTCTGATAATTGACTTTCCAATCTAAAATATAAAATAATAATTTGTGTTTTTAGTTACTTACGAATTAACAAACGTATTAATAGCAAATAGAGCATACTATCAATTAAAGAAACTTTTAACATCAAACATACCTATTCATAAAAAGAACGAAAATATTCAAAATAGTCAAATGGTCATATTTTTTAATGAAAAATTAAGTAATGGTTTGGGGAGAAATAAATATGAAATTTTAATTGTCTATCTGTCTAATTTGTGAAATTCTTATTAGACTTTTCAAAAACCATATGATTTCACCCGTAGGGTGAAATTTTTTCTATGAACAAAACGAATTATTTTTTAAAATCGGACCAGATTTTTTTCTAGTTTGAATAAATCAGTTGAGTAGTAGTGTAAGATATTGGAAGTAGTAGAGATAACAAGGGAAAATTATATTAGATGATTATTGTTAATATCATCAGCATCATCATCAACTAGCCTCTAACGTCCACTGCTGAACTTAGGCCTCCCGTATGCTTTTCCACTTAGTCCGATTTTGCGCCATCTGAATCCAATTTGTAGTCACTCTTTTTATGTCATCTGTCCATCTCGTTTGGGGTCGACCTCTATTTCTGTTAGCTTGTATTCGGGGTCTCCATTCCAAAATTCTTTTTGTCCACCGGTAATCAACTAATCTTGCTACAGGATCTGCTCAGTTCCACTTTAGTGTTGTTATCCTTTCAATAACGTCTGCTACTCCTGATCTTTTGCGTATGATAGCATTGGGTATTCTATCACGTAGAGAAATCCCTAACATTATTCTCTCCATTGCCCTTTCCGCAACTTGTAATTTACTCACTGTTGTTCTTGTGAGTGTTAGGGTTTCTGCGCCGTAGGTCATCACAGGCAAAATACACTGATTAAATACTTTTCTTTTCAGAAACATTGGAATCTTAGACCTAAAAATATCCTTCATTTTTCCAAATGCAGCCCAAGTGAGGTTTATTCTTCTTTTTAGCTCGATTGTTTGGTTGTCTCGACTTATTCTGATCTCATGGCCCAAGTCGATTCATAGGAGTCAACTGGCTCAATATCTTTGTCTTCTACTGAGATGTTTTTGTTGTGGACTAAATTTGTCATAAAAAGTGTTTTTGAAAAATTTGTTGTAAGACATACTCTTTTTGTGGCAGAATGGAGTTCTTGGAGCATTATCTGTGCCTGATCAAAGCTGTCTGCAATAAGAACGATATCATCTGCAAATCTAAGGTTATTTACAAATTTTCCATCTACATTGATACCCTTTTCGTTCCAATCTATTGTTTTACAAGCGCATTCTAGCAAAGTTGTAAATAATTTAGGAGACATGTTGTCTCCTTGCCGAACGCCCTTTTTAATACGAAAGGTCCCAGTATCTTTCTTAAGTCTTACACAGGCTGTAGCATGCTGATAGATGTATCTGATGAGGGATATGTATCGGTGATCTATTCTACATTGTGTTAGAGCTTGGAGCACTTCACTTTGATTGACCGTATAAAATGCTCAAATTGTTCCGTATCCAGCTCTAAATCCTGCTTGCTCGCAAAGTTGATAGAAGTCTAGTTTTGATGTAAACCTATTAGTTATTATCTTCATAAACAACTTATAAACGTGAGATAACAAGCTAATAGGTATATAGTTCTTTAGCTCTGTTATATCTCCCTTTTTGTGCATGACTACTATAACAGCTTTAGTCCACTGAGATGGTGTAACCTCTTTTGAAAGGCATAAGTTATACAATTGTGTCAATGCTTTCAATACTGTATTTCCTCCTGCTTAAACTGCCTCAATAACGATTTGGTCATCACCAGCTGATTTATTGTTTTTCATTCGATTTAATGACTTTGAGACTTCTTCGATTGTTATTTCTGGGATATCCTCTGAACCCACATTCTGGACTTTTCTCAACTTGGTGCCGTCTTTCTTACCCTTTTCTCTATATAATTCTGTATAAAATTCTTCCACTACCTTAATTATCTTATCTTTATCTGTTACCACTTTTCCATTTCGATCTGCGACCTTAACAATATTTTTCTTACCTAGAGCTTGACTCTTCAACACCTTTAAACTTTTATTTTCCTCGACATCCGTTGTAATCTTTTTTGTGTTATATTGCCGTACGTCCTTTCTCACTGCTTTATTAATATCTTTATTAAGTTGTTGTAGTACGCTTGCATTCATATCGTTTTGTTCTCGATCGTTTTGACACGAAGTTTTCTTCGTGTCTCCATAAGTCTTTTTGTCTCTTGACTGATTTTTTCCTCCTAATCTCTCTTAGGATTTTTATTGCACTTTTTCTCTGCGTTCTTAATAGATTTTATTAAGTTATCATTTAAGGTTTCGACATCCATAACGTCTATATTTGTTGTCTCTAGACATCTCAGCATTTCCTCTTCGAAGGATATGGTGTTTTCGATTGGATTTGGGTGTGTTTTTGTTATCATTTTGTATCTTTGTTTTTGGAGATTTAGCACGATCTTCGCTCTTACCATTCTATGATCACTTCCCACTGAACAGCTATTAAGAACTGTTACATCATGGGCCATGTCTTTGTTGTTGGTTAAGACAAAATCGATTTCATTTTTGGTGACTCCATCTGGACTTGCCCAGGTCCATTTTCTTTGGGGACTTTTTTTGAAAAAGCTATTCATTGCAAAGAGGCCATTTCGTACCAAAAAAAAAACCCAAAAATATTTCGCCTCTTTCATTTCTTTGTCCGAATCCGTAGGGACCTATTGCAACTTCGGTCCCGTCCAGTTTACATCCCAACTTAGCATTAAAGTCACCCATTACTAGGTTGTGTGTAGTAGGCGCCAGTTTTACTACATTTTCTAGGTCTTCATAAAAGGTTTCCACTTTCTTGTCCGAGTGTGTAGATGTAGATGCATAGGCTTGAATTATTTTAAGGCTGTTTTTTTGTTAAGCTTAAGTATGCAGAGTATTATTCTTGGGTTGATACCTTTAAGTTGTTGGATATTTTGAGTGTGTCTCTTATGTATAAAAAGTCCAACTCCTCCTATTTTTTCTTTGTTTCCCATATAGAAAAGTTGATGCCCTGATTTAAGAGTTATACAGTCTTCTTCTTGGCGTCTTTCTCCACAGAGACCCACAACGTCCCAATTTATGTGTTTTAACTCTTCTTCTAATTCCAGTAATTTTTCTTCAGATGACAGTGTTCTTACATTGTACGTGGCGATATGCATTCGTCGTCGTCCGTGGTAGCCTGATCTGACCCGGGGATTCTTCGCACCCTCTGTTTGCTGTCTTTCTTGATCGCTACCTTGACCAAGGATCAGTTCACTGCCGGAGACTGAGGGCCGTGTTGTTGTCGTGTCAAGCATGCTTGGATTTTAGCAATATTCTACCGCGCTGACCAGTGCGAGTTGGTAGAGATTGTTAATATAATTGATATATAATACCAAATTTATCCATTAAATTAGACACTGAACTATATATTCTAGTAAAAAAATAGTTGTATAGTTTGTTGAAAATACTGATTTAAAATAATACTTACAAAGACATTTTATCTTCAAAATACATTCGTTGTTCCTCTAATTGTGAAGTAAGAAGATAGGTAAATTCAAGTTGTACGGAATCAACTTTTTCTTGAGCTCCTTCAGCTTCTGTAGGAGGACTTTCTGATGGTACAAGCTTTCCATCAGCTTTATTCTGAAGAAGTCGATGTACAAAATTATCACCTAAAAATAAAAAGTTCACAAAAATTTTTATGATGTTCTAAATGAGATGCACACTGTATAAGTAAGTAGCAAATTACAATGGAAAACAATGGAATAGAAAATAAAAGTCCTACGGTTGGATACAAAGTACCATCAACGAATATAGACACATTTAGTGGTTATACGCATAGATCTTGACATCAAGACGAGAGAGTAGGTACAATAAAATAACAAGATATAGAGAGATAGAAACATAGACATACATAAAACCCCTCACTATACACATATACATATAGGTCTATAAAATCCACAAGGAAAAATTCCTGTAGCTGGCTGTATACCACGTATAACAAAAAGAGGTTAATCTTTGTAAATGGGTATATTTATTTAAAATTTTTTTTTTTTTTTATATAGGTCTATGGCCCCACGTTACTACTCCCACTTAACATCAAGACGAGAGAGATAGAGGGGGTAAAATAAAATTCCGAGCTAGAGAGAGATACAGGAAATTAGTTGAGAGATCTTGTTGACATTGGAAACTGCCGACCTGCTCAATCTTTTTTATATATAAGTATACGATATAAAAGCACATTTCAAAATACTCCTGTAAATGGCCACCGCATAAATTTTTTTATATTATTTGTAGATTTCTGCACATTTAAATTAAAAATTTGAATCCCAATATTGTTTAGAGTTTTAAAAAGATTCAGTTTTCATATTTCAAAAGCAGCAGTCGTTTCTGGACGAGGAACAGTGCGATGGTGAAGGGAGATCACATGAGCGCTCCCTGGTGTTAAGGGGAATACAAGTAAAAACATCAAATGTTCTCTCAGCATATACCAAAAAATTAGGTTGTAGTGTGCTATATTCGCTATTCCTATAGTATAATTAAAGATAAAGTATAAGAGATTTCTGAGCAATACAACAGAGAAAGAAAATAAATGCAAAGATGGAAACAAACGTGAGAAAGGAGAAATCTGAAATATAGAAAGAACATTACTCAAAAAAGTTTAGAGAAAAAATACAGATAAAAAATGTATAAAATAAAGTAATAGTTGCAGAAAAACCTGATATAACAATGAAAGAATAACAAGAGGTCTTGCAAAAGCTTAGACTGAGAAATCATGTGGAGAAACGTGGGAAATATGTGGAGAAGAATTAGATAAAGGAGGTCCTAAATCCTAATCCAAAGCCTGAAACTACCATAAACATATGAGAAAAAGGAGAGTAATACAATAGAGTATAATAACATATAATCCAAGAGTATATTTACACGTAAGACGTCGAAAAACTAAAATAATTATTGTAACTATACCTTTGTAATCCCACACACGATGGGACCCTAGTTGTAGGGCATAACAATGACCAGTTTCTCTATAATGTGAAGCTGCGTGTCCTCCTTGGTACCTACAATTAATTTCACCTTTAAAAAACATTCTCGTAAATAAATGCTTAGACATTATAAGATTGTATATGCAGTATGTCCAATGTCCAAATACATACGGCACAAATGTTATAGCGCCACCAAATAAATTAGGACAAAAGTAGCAAAATACTGGCAGCTACAAACTAAATTGAGTTAGACATATACAGGGTCTATATAATAGGTCTCAACTTGGAAAAAATTTGAATTTATATGAACTCACCGGAAAATTTAAAGGAATAGAGATAAATATATGTATTTTATATTTCTATCTTGCAATGGCTTTGAAAAATAAATTTTTATAAGAAAACATTAAAAGTTGTATCTGATTCCGTTGCGTTTTGATACATTTTATGCCGTTTTGCACCTGATTTATTAAAAAATGCACGAGACAAAAACAGTGTATTTGAAACAAAAAAACTCTTAACGAGCATTTATATTATATATTTGATGGTCAACTGCCGCACATGTATTCTTCTGTTTTGTGCAGTCACTTTTGTGTTGTGTGACCCTTGGTTTTAGCCATTGAGAAGTTTGGCCAACATAACAGCTCTGGCAATCCAAACAAGGCAGTTTGTAGATAACATGAGTTTTATTTACAGTTGGTGTCTTGTCTTTTACTTTAGAAAACAGTTGTCGGATCTGGTCAGTAATATAATATTGAAAAAACAGAGCTTATTAAATAATAAAATTACATATCTTCAGCTAAAAAGAGATCCAACTATTACGATACAATTTTCTTATAATGAACTTATTAAAACTATGAGGAATAACTTAGAAATAAATCAAGAATGTGTCAAAAAACTGACTGTATATAATCCATCTTGTCCAAAACTTTACTGCTTACCAAAAATCCATAAAGAAGGTCCACTTAGACCTATTGTAAGCTCTATAAATTCAGTAACTTATGACTTATCCAAATTTCTTGCTAACATTCTTAAATATGCTTTTGACGAAGTGAACAACTATAATGCAAGGGATACATTTTCATTTGTTAATGATATCAGAGAGTTGATTTTACCGAAAGATTATGTTTTAATTTCGTTAGATGTCATATCGTTATTTACTAACATACCAATAGATCTGGTCAGTAATATAATACAGTCAAAATGGAATCTCATCCAAAATTATACAACAATTTCAAAGGATAGTTTTTTAACACTTCTGAACTATGTTTTTGAGAACACCTATTTTAGCTTTAATGATAAATTGTATCGACAAATATTTGGAGCACCTATGGGTAGTCCACTCAGCCCCATAATAGCAACCATCATTTTGGACCATTTGCTGGATGTCATTATTCCACAATTACCTTTCCCTTTCATCATCATCAGTGGTGCTACAGCTCTAGTTGAGCCTTGACCTTCCCCAGTCTATTTCGCCAGTCGTTTCTGTTCATCGCCAACCGTTGCCAATTTGCCGCGCCGATTTTCCTTGCGTCCTCGTCCACACCGTCCCTCCATCTCAGTCGTGGTCTGCCTCTACTCCTATTTCCCACTGGGACCGATAATAGAGTTCGTCTGGGTGGGTAATTTTCATTTGCTCTTGACACATGTCCAGCCCATCTAAGCCTACCTATTTTTATGAAGGATATTACATCTCTACCATTTACTATTTTTTTATACTTCTCGTACAATTCGAAATGATAAATTTGTCCATATAGACCATCCAATAGATGGTCCATGTTTCTGACCCATATGACCTTTCCCTTTACCCTTCATTAAAAAATTTGTAGACGATCTTATATGTTCTGTTCCTACTTCACAAATTCAAAATACCTTGAACATTTTCAATAACTTTAACAAACATATCCAATTTACTTTAGAGATTGAAAATGATTGTTCGATATCATTTCTGGACACCAAATTAATAAGAACTGAACAAAACAAAATATTGATAGATTGGTATCAAAAGCCAACACACTCTGGAAGATATTTAAACTTTTTTTCAAATCATCCTACTTATCAAAAGTTTAATACAGTGATTGCAATGAAGAATAGGGTAAGGCATATTAATGATAAATTAATAAACAGGAACTTAAATTTGCTGTTAAACATATTTCAAAATAATGGATACCCAAAACATATCCTTAAAAAATTGATATTGAACTCAGAAATTTTTGACGGTCCCACTGATATCGGAGCAGTACAAACAATACAATATAAAAAACTACCATTAATAAAACAGTTAACACCTTCTGTGTACAGAAGGTGTTAACCTTTATTGTATTGGTGTATCGGGTGTACCCGATACACCAATACAATAAATTGTTATAATATATATATATATATATATATATATATATATATATATATATATATATATATATAAATTAACACCTACCTCCCACATCCTACATGACCACAGATCAAACATATCCAGAGAGAATCAGGGGAAGGTACAGAACTGCCGCATTCTTCACATTCTGAACTTTCAGCTTGCTCTGGACTTTGTACACATCTACAAACTGGGCAGGTGGAATCGCCCCACTGTTCCAAACAACTAGCGTGAAATGCGTGATTACAAAGAATCGTCAAAACACCATCCACCGATTCATCCATGCGTTCTAAAAATTATACAACAATGTAAACAATAGTATATTGTACAGCCATGGAATGTTTGTTAAAATATCTTGACATTTCGATGTCCATTTCCCGAGAGTCTATTTGAACCAATGTTGAGCAGTATTAAGAAATTCAATGCTTGCACCTTAATGCTTGCTTTAATTTTGCATACTTAAAAAATATAACATTTAGATATCTGATGGCAATAATCAATTCCACGTGGGTTATAATCCCTCTCAAACGAAAAGAATTATCTCAAAGATGACAGCAACTATACAGTGTTCAGTCATGCAATGTTTACAATTGTTGTTGCATTTTCGTATATATTGTGAATAATATTCACATAACTGTGGTCTATTCTAGACTCTGATAGTCCATTTAAGATAGCGACTGTTTCCGCTGTGTCAAATGATTTGTGGAAGTACAAGTACCAGTGGTCTATTAGATTCGATATTTTCGAATAGAATTTAAGGCACTACAGATGGTCATTTGTTCTGTGGCTTGATCGAAAACCTGCTTGTTCTTCTGACTGGTAGAAATTGAGTTTTACTTCCAATCTATTTGCCAGTATTCAAGTAAAGAGCTTATATGGGTGGTTTGGTAAGCTATTGGGCCTATAGTTTTCAAGATCTAATTAATCTCATTTTTTATGAAGGAGGACTGTAACCAAATTTTTCCATTTATTTGGAATGTTTTCGTTATGGAGATATAGATTAAAAAGCGTTTGGATTTGTGACATCAAAAGTGGACCTCCTAGTTTAATTGTCTCAATGACTACACCATCTTCCTCCAGAGCTCTATCATTTTTTATGTTTTTGAAAGCATGTTGAATTTCCTGCCATGATACATCTCATATTCTCCGATCCTACATTCTGAACCTTTCGTATTGGCTGTTCGATGAGCTCTGGAATAACTTGATTTTGGTATAATGTTTCATAGAAACTTTCCACTATATGTAATATGTCTGGCGTAACTGAGACTATATTCCCATTTTTGTAGAAAGTTAAAAGATTTCCTTTCTGCCATTTTCCATTTTTTCCCTAAATGCTTTCATTCTTTTGTTTTATTCTATAGTTTTTATAATTTTCTTCGTATTCAGAAAATCCATATTCTTAATTTTTGTTGATGTTTTGTCAATATATTACCCTCCTTATCTTCACTTCTTTTTGTTCAGTTTCTGGTAAAATTTTCTCGTCTCTATTCACTACTTTGTAGTTCTTGAAATTCTTTGTTTATCTCTTGTTTCTGCGGTGGATTTTTTTCCTTACGTAGTTATTTATATTCCTCCTCTGCTTGTCGGGTCTTGTGCCCTGTTACATCAGTAAATATGCTGTTTTTTCTTTCTGTTATAATCTAACATTCTTCGTGAAAACATTTGTTGTTATTCTTCTTTGTTTAACTTCCATTCTTCAGCTGCTTTTTTATGATGTTTCTGCACCCTTCCCACTCTTCATTTATGTTTAAGTCTGTTTTCTAGTTTGATGGTTATATTTTGTTTATATTCTCTATTTTTGTTTGAATTTTTGAGTCCTACGTTGTATTGTTCATGTTTAGAACTTATTTAATTTTTTAAATGTTTAAATTTCTGGCTCTTACCCTACTTTCGACTCAGTAGTGATCAGAATCTGCATCTGCCCTCTTCCTGTGCGGACGTAGACCAAAATTGCATATGTCAGATGAGAGTGTCCGATGCTAGATTTCTGAGCACATATAAGTTCTTTGATAGGTTTTTACATAGTCAATATGTTGACCCCATTGAAGATAGCGGTCCAGATGTACTCCAAGGAACTTCATACTTAGGACATCTGCGTTTTCAGCCTGGATGTCCCTAAGAGCAAAAATGACCCTGTTGGTCTTTGCTTCATTAACCAGGAGCCTGTTAACACAGAGCCACTCTTTGGTGTCTGACAGTGCAGACCTGGAATCTCTAAGGAAGTCCTTAAGTGTATCAGCTGCAAAGGAGACAGTGGTGTCATCAGCGAAGAGTGTGTATGCAGCATTTGATTAAATGCTTGTAAGATCATTAATACATATATATATATATATATATATATATATATATATATATATATATATATATATATATATATATATGCTATGGTTGCTATGCTTTAAAAAAAAAATCAGTCACTTTGGCCTGTGTTAAGAGTTTTCGAAAAACTTTGTTGTAATTTACCCAAATTTACAATATCGAAAAAGTCTGAAGATTCTTGTTGCTCAAAATAGTTTATTACAACATTGACAGCTTCCTCAGACTTTTGGTTAGTTATTCTGTTGATTAATAACGTTCCATCCTCTTGACTCTCATTTTCTGATGAATCAGGTTGTGACGTACCGGGCTGATGGATAACCAGTTCGACAATTTCGTCGTTGCTGAAGAGCTGATAGCCTGACTCATTTTTATCACACTCTGTCCATCTCTCAACTTCGGTTTCATCAATACTTCAAACACATCGGCGTTGCGCACTAGTGCAGTTAGTTCAGCTATGGTAGTGTCTTTATCATCATATTCCATGATACTTTCATCTTCCTTATTTTTTCATTAATATCGCGTATTGTTTGCTTACCAACGTCGTAGCTCCGTGATAAAGATGTGACACTTTCACCCTTCTCACTTCTGTTTAAAATCTCTAGTTTTTGTTCAATCGTTAAAACACTTCTCTTTCGTTTAACACTGGTGGTTGACATTTTGAAAATAAAAACACGTTATAAAAATAATCAGAGTAGCGACTGATTTCTAGCTTCCAACTATCTAAATACTAAATCTCACATATTCGACGTAACATGCAGCGGCATATTATAAGTACGGGTTTCCAGGAATTTCCCGAGCACTGACGATATGGATATTACATTATTCGTCTTTCCCACGGCGTAGTAATTTGCCGTGAAATAATTCTAATAAAACGCCAATTCAATGTTAAGTAGCACGGATAATCCGCAGCCTGGATAATCCACACATGGATAATCGAGGTTCTACTGTATATTGGAATAAAACTATTGTAAACATTGTTAATCTTATTGGGCAACAGTCAGTTGAAAATAAATAAATAAACAAATAAATAAATAAATAATTGTTCATGTAGTTTTATTAAGAAACCTGAATTTATACATACCTAGACATACTGGACATATTGGAAGTTCGGTGTGGCCTGGTGGTGGGACCCCATCATGGGCCCATTCTACCTTAGAAACCCATACTATGCGGCAAATACTGTCAGGTTCAAGACTACTAAACGGAGTGCCATTGAATGTTAAATAAAACTCAACTGCAGCATCATGGTTTCTAAATCTTAAAACAGAAAAAATGAGATATTAAAAATCTATAAATCAGAATGATTTTTACAGTTTCATATTGTACAGTTTTATTCACATAAAACAAATGTTTTGTTGAGTATCATTTTTTGCTCTTTAACTTTTTTCTAATACTTATAAAAAATAATTTTTTCAATATAAGGCTACAGTAAAATAATAATTGACTAAACAAACACTTGACACACAAAATTTGCATTATTGCGTTACCTATCAAAGATTTTGCTAATAGATCCCTTGAGAACAGCTGTTTTGGCAGAGTGTCTTTCTCCAGTTATCTAATAGATCACATGAGAATGGCACTCTGCTGAAACAGCTGTAGTTATAAGATTTTATAATCAATTTTTGTGGAAGTTCACAACAGATGGAGACATGCAGTCACAACAAGAAGGAGACATGTTAATAGCAAAAGTATTATGAATGTCCAATATAAATTATAAAAGCCAAACAGCTTTAAACTTCTGCAAAATCAAACATTTATTAGCTTTATTCACTCTTTTAGTCGTTAATACCACATCTGCAATGTTTAACATTGGGAAGAAGAAATTCATGTCATTTGTTTGAAAAATATATAATTATTGCAGAAAAATATTTAAATATTTTTTAAGACAATGTGAATTCTGATAGTTAAATAGCAAGTATCCCGATCTTAGGTAAAAGGAAAATAAATACAGAAAAAAAAATTACTCTGAAGGAAGCATTGGACAGTGGAAAAGTCCAAGAACACAATATATATGTTTACAGATTGATAGGAGAAAATTGCACTTCCTTGTCAAAAATGTGTTTAAAAAAATATATTACTATTTTGGAACACCAAGATAATTCACTTAACCAATACAAAATATTCATTTACTTAAATATATACTTACGTTAACAGAGCCATGTATTGGTTGGGCATAGAATCTCTTAAAACCCTTATATGAGAAATATCATCATGGCATGGTGCTGTAAATGACAGCAGATCATGACAGGCCATAGTAGTAGGTACTCCTAACATACACAATGTAAGGGCATCTTTTCTGCTTGTAAGGACACTAAAATAACATGTTTAACAAGTATATGATAAAATATAACATTTAAAATATCATGTTAATTCAAACAAAATTCATAGAAATCTGTTATATCAACATTCAGTTTTCCAAAGTTGGAACATTAAACACAAATAATTTATTTGTAACATCTATCATGGTTTTCTATACTCATGCACTACTTTTTTCCAATAATTAGACTTAATTTACATGAATAAATAAACATAAAATTATATTTTATCTGATATAGATGTTCAGATATGTAATAATCAGTATTACTATAAACATGAGTTAATTATGAAAGCAATAAGACTAAAACAAAGAAAAACAACAGTGATTTCCTTATCTATTATTTGAATTTTTATTTACAGGAATGTGTATTTGTTTCATTCAATATATTTGTATACCATGTAATAGGATTAACAATATATTTATTGTATTTTCAATGCTTGTGAAATCATAGAAACACAAAACTGAGTATTATGACAAGAAAGAAATAGTGACTTTACTACAACAGAAATTTATCAAATTTGAATCTCTCATATATCTGGACTATTTTGTATTGTAGTTTCCATGCCTTCTAGGATATTGAGAGGCAGAAGAAACATAACATTCAAATGATAGATGTTAGAGTAAAACATTGTGAATTTTTTAACCTTTTAGAAGCATAAATTTTAATCTCTTATCTTATCCTCTGAATTATACAGATTATGAAGAACAATAACATTATTCAAAGTTTTAACGATTTTAAATAAAATAACAACTACTTACTCCTCTTTATAAAGATGAAGGATACCTTTGGTAATTTCAACAAAGGGATTACCACTGAAAAATCCAATTTCATTGTCCTTTTCTACAGTATCTTTTGGTGACTCACTAACAGGAGTAACTTCTCTAGAATATTTTGGTAATAGTCCCCAGTCATCTCTGGGACTTTCGAGGCGACTGGGAAATGTTTCAACACTAATATCCCTCGCTCTTCTTTGTCCCCGATTTTTCAGTCTACTCTCAGTGTTCACTACAGCTTCTGCACCTCTTAAATCTATATAAAAATAACAATTTTTTTTATTTGAAAATATATTTGTCTTTTAAATTAAAAACATAAATTTTTATTGCATGGTATCGTAGTTATTATGCTTTAAAGGTTAATTATAAATCGATAGTACATAACAAATGGATCTTTTACCAATTAAAGGTTAATATTTGTTTTATAAAATTATTTTATCCAATATTACCTTGATTTTGACGCGATTCCTTTACTTCCACTCTTAGAACGCATTTTGATACTAAATCAGACATTTTCTTTACATCGAAAAAGTTTACTTGCAAAATAAGTGAAAAATAACAAATAATTATTGGCAATTTGACGTTGTGTATCTTCCAAATATCGCACTTGTATCTTGCATGAAGTTAGCAATGTTTACGAAATTTTTCTGACAGCTACCAGAGATTAAACGTCCGATTATTCCATAAGCGGGGCATGAATTATTTTGGTGGGTATATTTATTCCCAAATATGTACCATAAAAAACTGTAAGTTTAGATGCCGTATGATATTTGCAACTTCGACATGAGTAGTTTCAGATCACAACAAAAAATTTAAAAAACCAATCTGTTAGTTTTGTGCAGTTTGTCTGAATATATGTCTATACATCCAGGTGATACAGGAATTAGTACAGCCACAATTTGAACACATAAGGAAAACATTGATGACGGATTCAGATTCAACATTAAAAGTTATGTGAGGAAAAAATTTAAAACCGGAAATTTTTACTTCCTCTTACGATAAAAATAGAAAACGTTTAGCTACTCCAAGCGAGAAACAGGATTCTACAAGCATGTTCGATTTTGACGATGTTCACTTGTTTTTTTTTTAATTATTTTTAGAAGTAGATCTATATTTTTTTATCGGAAGGAAGTGGTAAATCTTCTAAATACCATGTCCCGTTAAGGATTACTCGGAGTGTGTTGAATTCGCGGTGGTAAGGCCCATCCACACGAAGCCCCCTAGAAGAATCGTGCTCACAGATACACCTATTGCTCCTTGTCTACTAACTAAAGTTCACTTCCTCATCCGGACTACTCATGCGGTAGGTCCTATCCAGATCGGTGCATCACATGGATAGCCCGGCTTCTCTATCTTTCCCTCTCTCTTTCTCTCTCTCTCTCTCTCTCTCTCTCTCATCTTTGCTGCAGACTTTGGACTTACCATACCTATTTTTCTGTATAATTCTATTTTTCTCGTCGAACATTCTGCACCCGAATACACAGTGCTCGACAGCGTCAGCCACTCTACACTCTCCGCAGTTTTCATCCGCAACCTTCCCTGTCCTTTCCAGGTAGGTCCTGAAGGAGTCGTGCTCTGGTAATAAATGGGTGGAAAAGTAATTAGTGTATGTGTCATCGCACTTCATCCATACTGCAATATTTTTAATTAATACTAGCTAATATTTTTTCCTGCTCATTCTTCCCATAGGTTACTGCCCTTTCCTTCATAATCAGATAAATGGGTAAAACAAACGCGATAACTTGTATGGCCACTGTTGATGCTGTTCTGTATGCATGTGCTAATATTAGTATATAGTACCTTTCTTTGGGCTTTCTCTAGCATCATCCTGTGTTTCGTGATGTTAACAACTTTTTGCCATACCGGTGCTGCGAAGAGTCAGTACAATAGAGTAAACGAATTCCAATAAAATTCTCCTTTTGTCAGTCCCTGGTCATCCCACGTTAGGCATAATCCTTAACAGGACTGTAATTCTCGTATCTAGGACTACTCGCAGGTACTTTACTTCTTTGGCAGGTAAGATCCTTCTCTCTCCAGGACAATGGTCTGAGGCCCTCGAACGAGTTACTTGCCGAAACTTGCGAAACTTTTAAAAAGTTGCCTTCCCACTGTCTTTGTGTTAGCTAAACTCGGTAAACAATAATGTAAAATAGAAAATAATATATAGTATACCTATCCAATTTTAAAAGACCTTATATTTTTGTATTCAAAAAGCAGAATCGATAAACCTAATTTTGAATAGAAAGGCAATTTGAAAAATTTTGACTATAAGGAGCCTAAAAGTTAAAATGATCTATTGCAGATATAATCGAGTATAAGTATAGACTCGCTGACACTGCATATCGAGAGATTGTAAATTAAAAATATGTAAGGAGAATTGCTCTAGAAGGTTGCTTTGGACTAACACAGGGTCAGTATCTACTCGGAAACCAGACAGGAAATCTGTAGATTCTAATAATTAAAAACGCTATGTATGAATATGTTCATATGGTTGCAGAACAAAATTTTAAAATCTCACTCAATGTAAATGTAAACGATGGTAAGATTTTTCTTCTAAGAGTGTTTGAGAAAACGCATCAATTAAGCCAAAATATTTATTGCCTCTAGTATAATAAGTCTACAACTTGTGAATCTGTAACAGTGAACTGCAACAGTTCTTTAAGCAACTAGCAAAACATAACAAAGAAGAGTGGAACAACAAATGTTGCCCAATGGACTAAGATGCTGATCCCGAGCTTAAGGGACTAGGTAAATTGTTCGTTTTATGGCGTACCTTCATAAGTACGGATGAATGGAATAGTGTTCACTATTACATTCGAGCAGTCATTAAAAAGAAAGAAGAAGAGAAACACCAACCGGGCCAACGACAGAAATAATATCTAATTACAATTTTAATGATAATAAGTCGCAATTGAAGGTTAAAATAAGTTTATTGACGTTTGAATTTTTGATCTTTGATCTTGCCCTGATAACTTGTTTATATTTTAACAATTAATACCAAAAAGAATAGCGGTTGGTACCGAAGTACATCTAGCCTTCATCCACTTAGAAAAGGCGTATGATACAGTTCCAAGACTTAAATTGTGGCAAGCTATCAGGAATAATCACAGAAGTATACAGTATACACACTACTTACCGAAAAATCGGAAATAGACTATCAGAGCCAATAAAAGTAAGTTAAGGACTAAAACAAGTAGGCAGCATGTCACCCTTACTTACTTACAATTTATATAATAAGGCAGCCCTCCAAAATTGGAAAAACCACTGCCAGAGAATGGGAATCCCTATAAGAAATGACTGTACTGTTCCCCCTGAACTTTGCTTATGACTAAGTCGTCCTAGCTCAAGATTCTTATGATCTAGAATTTATGATAAAGTGTCTATACAGAAAATATTTAAAATTTGAAAATGGGGGTTATAAGTCAGCAAGAAGAAAACAGAATATTAAGTTATCAATCCAGATTCAAGGTTTGAAGTGTTAATAGACGAGAACGTGGAAATCAAACAAGTGGAAAAATTTAAATATTTAGGTGCACTCATTGCTAAGAATGGTTTGGAAGAAACCAAAATTAAACACCGAATTAATCAGACGTAAAATTGTAGGATGTCTGAACTTTTTATGGTGGGATCGCAACATTTACAAAAGGAACAAAAAAATAATAGCGTAATAGCCATGGTTGAATTAGTTCTTTGTTATGGCTCTGGAATATGAACAATTAATGCAGACCTGAAGAGAAGATTGTTGGCAGTTGAAATGGATTATTTCAGAAGAAGTGCTAGAACATCAAGACAGGAAAGGAAGACCAACGAATCTATAAGAAATAACATGAATGCTACAGAAATGGTCATTGACAGAATAGAAAGAAGAGGTTCAAAATGATTTTGACACCTCTTGAGAATGTCTAACGAAAGTTGGCTCCAAAAACTTCACAAATGGAAGCACCCTGGAAGAAGAAAAAGACGTAGACCTCGACGCTCATGGAATGAAGGAATTAGAAGAGCGACGGAATCGAGAGTTTTGGAGGAGGAGCATGCCTTGGACTGGGAAGATTTGCGGAGGAGAACGGGAATATGGCGATAGCCGTCTCCAAAATGTATTGTATTAATTTATTATTAAGTTGGATTAATGTCAAACGTCAATAAACTTATTTTAACTTCAATTGTAGGTTTTCTCCATTAAAATAGTAATTATTTTAAAATGCCA